TCTGTGCTCTCCTCGAACACCTCCCATCCAAGGAGGTGTTGCCTCCCCGATGAGGAAGCCTTGTCCATTGGGCTGGCCTATGCTTCTGGAGGATGGGATCTCACCATCTTCCCTCCGGGAGGCATGGGAGGCCAGCCGGCGTGTCCCCAGCCAGCCCCACACTCTGACCTCTGCCTGGGGGGTTAGCCCTGTCAAAACCTCATGGCTAAGGGGGACTGTAGCCCCTGCCACCCCATCCACAGTAACGGACCCGAGAGGGACAGGGCCTGCGGGCAGCACCCTGGAAAAGAGGTGTGGGATTGGCTCGGGTTCCAAGAGACGCCTCAGGCTGGTGCCTGCCCCATTCTTGGAATCACATCCAGGACGCAGGAACTTGGCCATGAGTCCTGAAGACCCTGGGAAGCCAGAAGAGGAAGGGGGACTTGCTGCTTGGCCTGGGAGGCTGACAGGCTGGGGGTGGTTGTCAAACTGCCTGTTTATGCTGTGTACATGTTGTGTTCCCCCAAAGCCCTTCAATGGTTCCATCCCCCAAGAATAAAATCCAAATCCCTTACTTCTGTCTCAAGGCCTTCGTGATCTGCCCCCGCTGCCTACCTCTCCCAGCCCATCTCCTCCTCCTTGAACAAGCCAAGCTGGTTCCTGCCGCAGGGCCTTTGCACCTGCTGTTGTTGTCTCTGCCTAGAATGCTTGATCTGGACCTCCTCACGACTGGCTCCTCAAATAGGCCTTCCTGACTATCTCCGAAATACCTTGCTGAAATAGTGTATTTGTCACTTGTTTATCCATTCCCCTGAGAGACCATGAGCTCAGGAGGGCTGTATCCCCAGTGCTTCGCACAGTGCCTGGCACACAAATACTTGTCAAGTGAATATTTCTTACAGCAGCCCCTGAGCTGGCTGTTTCCCAGAGGAGGGAGCTGAAGCTCCACAATGCCCAAGTCTGCTCAAGGTCACACAGCTGGTGAGCCGGGTGGGGGTTGGGGGGGAACTGACCCCAGCTCTGCTGGTCTCCAGAGTCTCTGAGGTTTCCAGGGCTCTGCTGTCTTCCGGGCAGGAGGCAGCCCTCCAACCTGCTGGCTCTATGGTATAGACATGAACTCCGGGTGTCTTGACTAGCGTTGTCCAGTAGAGACATCATTTGAGCCACATATGGCATTTTAAATTTTCTAGTAGCGCATTAAACAAAGGAAAAACAAACAAGTGAGATGAATTGTAATCACAGTTTATTTAACTCAATTATCAAAAATGTTATCCTTTCAACATGTAATTAATATAAAAATTACCAATGAGAAATTTTACCCTCTTCACTTTCACACGGGGTCCTTAAGGGCGGTGTGTGTTTTGCACGCACAGCACATCACGATTCGGACCTGCCACATTTCGAATGCCCAGTGGCCACATGGGGCTAGTGGCTCCTGCACTGGACAGCGTAGCCCTAGCCTTCATTTCCTGAAGCCACCAAGCGTCCCTGAACATAGATCTTCACCCACAAAACAGTCACAAACGATTGTGAGCTCAAAGCTTTTTTAAACTCCATTTCTGCTGGTGTATTTAAAGAAGAGAATACAAATATTTAATAGGGAAGTAAAGAGAACACTAAGAACGCCTTCCCGGCCTGCTGGCGGCCTTATCTCCCCTTCTGGGGAGCCTGAACTGGAAAGGCCTGATCCCTCGCACGGGGCCTGGGGCGGCCTGAGATGATGACTTAATTAACACCTGCACAGGCACTTTTGATCTTGAAGGAGCGGTGCCCACTCGGTTGAGGCTACTCCAGGATTAACTGCCCTGAACTGAGAAAGCCTTGCCTAGAGATAAAGGGGAAGGTGGTGTTTCGTCACTACAAATTGCTCTGAAATCTGCTCTGGCACCTACCAGAGGGCTGGGTGTGGATGCCCAGCTGGCCTCCACCTGCACCACCCGGGAGCAGGCAGCTGGGCAGCTGAGCCCTTGGCCTGGGGCACCTCGGCCCTGCAGGGGTGTGTGTCTGTGTATGTACACACGTGTGTGTGTCTGTGTGTGCATGCACGTGCGCACTGCTCCTGCTTTTCCTGGCAGAGGGAGGCCCACCGACGGGAGAGACAGCCTTGCATGGGGGTTATCGGACCCCATTCTCCAGGGCAGATTAAGAATGCACCACACCAATAAGGCCAATGTCAAGGGGCAGAGGGCAGCCAGAACTTGGGTGCGCCCCTCCCATCCCCCTGCAGCTTGGGACTGGGGATCAGGTGGGCGTGAACTCCAGTCTGGTGCCTTTATTGCCGGTGGGCCACACATCCTTCTGTGAACTGTGGGACAAATGTGTCATGAGTAACTCCCTTGGTGTATTAATAGGGCTGGCACAGAGGGGCCCACGCTGGGGGGGAGCCGACCTCCTGCTCTGGGGACTGTGCCACTCAGCAGCTCTGGGACTGGGGCCAATGGCCTGATGTCCTGGCATCCAAATGCTGCCAAAAGCTCCCTCCGTGGAACGTGAGCTGGGACAGGTCTCCACACCTGGGGGTCCACTGGGTGAAATGAAATCAGTCAGGGCCCTGGGGGCTCAGTGGATGTCAGTCACCACTCCCACCGGGAAACAGCGATAAGGACAGCAGTAATGGAGCACCGACTGGTGCCAGGCTGCAGGCAGGCACGGGCAGACACCGCAGAGCAGGAATGGGTGAGGTGAGTTTTAGGGTGACATGCTGCCTGCTCACCACACAACGTGCCAGGCTCAGCGACAGATCCTTCATAAAGGCGGGTGGTGCTCTCCAGCCCCTCACCCCGCTCTGAGGAATGGCCACGGCCCTCCCAGCTCCGCCCATTGCGGGGTCACGGGCAGTGCTGAAGGGAACTAGCTGCGCGGCGGCCCCCTCTCCGCCTGTTTGGAACACCTGACTCACCTTAATTACGGGCCTGCAGGCACGTCGGGGCGCGCCCGCGACTCCGGAGATAGCCCGGAAGCCCCAGCTCCGGGGGCGACCGGACATCGCGGGCCGCCAGGTGCACCTTCGCCCCCACCAGCGCCTCCCCACCTGGAGATCCCCGCAGCGCCCCCTTTTTCCGTGGCGCCCTCGGGCTGGTCTCGCGACGCCCGCAGCCTCCCGGGGACGCGCGCCCCCGTAGCCTGGGGCCAGAGGGGTCGGGGGGCCCGTCTCTCCCTCCCGCACAAAGCGGGGTGTCGGTGGGGGGGCCCGCGCCTCGGTCTCCCGGCCTGGGCGTGGATGCCCCGCAGAGCCTGGGACGCCGCGCCCACGCGCTCGGGTGCCGCCCGCGCCTCCCGACTCCAGGGTATATTTAGCCTCATTATCAATGTTTGCAGCGAACCGTGTGAACCGCCTAATAGCGGCTGGAAGTGAAACTCGATTCCCAGGCAGAAGGAAGCACGTGATCACGACTGGTCAGCAGGGATCACGACAGGGGGCTGGCAGGTGCAGTCGCCCCCACGCGCCCGGCCTCCGGACCTACTGTCCCCTCTAGGCACCGAGCATCCGAAACCCACCTCCAGGGGCCGAAAGGAGGGAGGCTGGAGTGTGAATGGGCGGGGTGTGGAGGAGAGGAGCCCAGCCAGGAGGGAGGCCACGGGGCGTGGGTTCTTACCCAAATTGGTGACCTCTTGGTCAAGTCGGTCCGCCAGTCTCCATTTCCAGGTCCTGGAAACAGAGTTCCTAGGGACCAGTTTCTTCCGAGGATCCAGGGGAAGGTGGGGCGTGTGGGGTCAGGGACGTCCCTGTCGCACCCAGGGCGGGCCTCGGTGCTCGCACGCGCGTCGTGCCCTGAGTCTCCCCCAAAGGCGGCTGTCGCGCGGCTGCAGAGGTTCCTGCCACCCTCGCGCGGCCGCTGTTGTCGTGGTCGCTATGACGACGTGCCGCGGTTTTATTTTTAATAGCGGCCGGCGATTAGGAGGCCCGCGCCGCCTCCCGCAGCTCTCCAGGCCTCGCCCTGCTCCCCGCCCTCGCTCTGGCCTCAGACTCCCTTCGAGGACGCCCCCCTTCCGCGTCCGCACATCTCCCTTCCTGGCCCCAAGCTCGAACTGGGCGCTTCTGAAATGCCAGGCTGGCAGGGGCGCAGAGGGAAGCACCCACCCAGGCCTGCTCAGAGGTGTTTCAGACCCCCAGGAACCGGAGACCCTCTGTGCAGAGGTTGGAAGTGGGAGGGCTGTGTGCGCTGTTCCTAAACACAACCGACTTGTCCTCCTTCATTCCCATACCCACTATCAAACCGAGTCTTTTAACCCTAAAGAAGTGTCCTCGGATCTCCTCTGCCCCCGAGGAATCCGAGGCTCAACGGGCTGTGACGGCAGTCAGCTCTCCGGATGACTAGGGGTGGCTCGGACCCGTGTCCAGCCCGGGTCCCGGCGGTGCGCGTTTGGCCTCCTTCCAGCGGTCTCCCTCTCCGGAGCAATAGGAGGTTCCACCTGGACAGACAAGACTGGCTCTCACGTGCTTCTAGACGTTTCCAAGTTTTCCCTGGTTATGCTTCGGTCGTTCATTCTGACCGCCGGGGGAGCGCGCTGACAGCGGAGGTCGCATGGTGGGGCTGCGGCCTGGGGGAGGCAGGGCCGTGGGGGCTGCAGGTGTGTGAGGCACGTGGAAGGGCGCTGTAGACCCGGGCGCTCTAGGAACTGCAGGAGAGGCCCCGTCCCGCCCTCCCCAGGTATTTGCGGGAAGGTGAGCACCCCCGAAGCGCCCTTGAAATGCCAGAGCCGGCCGGGCCCGGGATGAAAGACCGCCCGCGGGCTGCTCCTTTACTGCCTGTGTGTGGTGGGAGGCCAGCCGGCGGAGGCGTGAGTCTAATCTACAGGATGGGGCCGCTGGGGGCGGAGGGCCCGGCCGGGCGGAATTCTCGGCACCCACCCACCCACCCACCCGGGCGTCTCTTGGCCTCCAGGGACCTCGGCCGTCTAGCTTTGGGGTCGCATGGCCAGTCTAGGCCTGGTACTCGAGGGACCCGCCGCCGGGGTCCGATCCCACCTGGTCCAGGCAGGCAAGATCTGTCCAGCCCAGGTGCACCTGCCCTTGCGTGGCGGCGGAGAGGTCCGGCCCGGCTCAGGCCTCGGCCTCCCGAGCGTCGCTCCCCCGCACCGCCTCTGTGCCGCGCCTCGGCCGGAGGTGGCGCTCTGTGCGCCCAGCGGATCCCGGAGAGGGAGGCTCAGACTCGGGGTTCCTCACGAGCGGCTCCTTTCTGTTCCTTCCCTTCCACCCTCGCGAGTTCTCCCGGCTTAGGCCGCGGCCCGGTCTTCCACGAGGGACTGGGGACTTGGGGACTCGGGGCCCTAGGGTGGGGACGAGGCACGCTGCAGCCCCCTCCTCCGACCTGGGCGCTCTCCTCTCTCGGAATGTGGGTGGAGGCCTCATCCAGACGCCCCGGGCACCGGATTCTGGGCGGGGGCGCGTGGCGGCCGCCAGGTGAGTGCCCCAGACGCGCCCCTAGACCCGCCCCACCTCCCACCGGAGACTCACTCCCCTCCTTTTACGGAGAAGGGGAGGCAGGGGCCCTGAATGCGAATCGTGGAAAGAGGCCTGAGAGCCGGGGCGGGGGGCGGGGGCCGGCCCGCTTTTGCCCTTTTTGGCGTAGCAGCTCTGGGCGCTGCCCTCTGCCGCCGCTGAGGCCCGAGAGAGGCGAGCCGGCAACGGTGGAGCTTCTGCGGCGGCCTCCTCCCCTCCCCGTCCGGTGCCGCAGGACTGCAGCTGGCACGGGGGGTGGGCAAGCTCGAGGGAGGGGCGCGCGGAGCCCCGGCGACCGTGCTCGGAGCCGGGTGCCGCTTTCATGGATTTCACTGCCCGCGTGAGCGCGTGTGTGTGCTCACTGCGGCGGCGGCGGCGGAGGCGGCCGGGCCCTGCCCGGCCCCTGCGGCCCCCGCGCGCTTCCGAGGTGCGG